GTGCGGCCTCACCAGTGCCGAGTCCAGGGGCACAATCACTTCCCTACTCCTGTTGGCCACACTATTGCTGATACAGGCCAGGACGCTGCTGGCCTTCTTGGCCACCTGGGCACACTGCCGGCTCATGTTCAGCCGGCTGTCAACCAGCACCCCCAGGTCCTTTTCCGCCGGGCTGCTCTCCAGCCCCTCCCACCGTGGCCAAAGTGCAGGACCCAGCACTTGGCCTTATTAAACCTCATACAGCTGACCTCCGCCCATCAATCCAGCCTGTCCAGATCCCTCTGCAGAGCCCTCCCACCCTCCAGCAGATCAGCACTCCCACCCAACTTGGTGTCATCTGCAAACTTAGGGAGCACTCGATTCCCTCATCCAGATCATCAATAAATATATTGAACAAGACTGGTCCCAGAACCAAGCCCTGGGGAACACCGCTTGTGACTGGCTGTCAAACTGCAGCTTGGTGGTCAAGACAAACTATTTACGGCTCTCAATGGCCACCTTGTATGAGAAGAAAGAAGTGTTTTACAAATGATAAAACAGCAACATGGTGTATCATTAATAAAATAATGATCATGGCAAGACTGACTGGCAGACTGTGCTATAAAAAAATGGTTTATGACCGTAAATGATAGTTAAGAATTAACTGGGAAGAAAATTTCAGCCCTGTTGGCACTGGGCAAAAGGAGTTTTACAACCTTCTGACGAAAACAATCTTGGGAATTCTGCTGGAAGTTCAGGAAGGATATTTGTTAAACAGTTTCATTGTGGTCACACAGGTCAACACCCTTCATGGTGAGATACCCATGACCACCCCCAACACACACACTACTTTCTGGGATAGTGCTTTATCAGGCTTGGAAGACAGTTCTACTGGGAACGTTTTACAGTTAGTGTAAACAGCCCCAGCTCACGCATGTGAAGGATTTGCATAGCTATGCAAGTCGGGGAAGAACAGGACTCGGACATTATCCCAAGGGATCTTGGTAAACAAGTTCTGCTCTTTACAGAGAGAACATCATCAGTGTGTCGGAAACCTAAATATCGCTGGAACTTTTTGGTGGCAGAGCATCTATCAGTAGACCCTGTAGCACAAGGATGGTGGTGGCACTGAGCCTGAGACTATTCTCGGTGAATTTAGTGTCTCTATACTATAGTTGTAATACTGTACAGAAATAAATTTAATCAATTCCTCCGGCACACTTTCATCTGTGCAGTGTTGGTGTACCAATTGAGAATGGGAGTGCTAGAAGGGAAGGAGTGTTAAGGAACATCTTATCTCCAAGAAGCCCACTGGTTGTTTCAAGGCTGAATGCACCCACCCTTTTCCCAGTGCCCTCGTTGGTGGGCTGTGCAAAGGCAGCTGTTCGTGGTGGTATTGGACTGGCGAGTGGAGGTCTTGGAGTGGGGAAGGAAGTATAGTTAGGGCTGGCTCGGGTCCTTCTGATGTTACTGCCATGGTCTAACATCAGCTGCAAGATGTGGTTGCATAAATTCAGCACAGGACTACACCACAGAATAAAAAGAGGGAGTAAAGATAAAAGATAAAAATCTTATCCGCTAGGAATCAAAGATGACAAATTCATTTCTTATACACCACCAGACATGCATTAATCTAAATGTTTTTTGGTTGAAAGGGTGGGCTGTGTTTGAATCCACAATAGGAAGATGAAAAGCTGCACAGTCCTTTCATGTTTTATTTTTGTTTTAGGATATTTCTTCCCAACATTATGGTCTTAAGGAAAGAAAAGGAAGATACATCCCAGACCCACTTCAGAAAAGAGGTAAAATAATCAGCTTATGTCTTTCATTTCTTCTGGGTTTCCAGACACCTGTAAGAAGCATATGAGAGGTAATCACCTCTCATGAACAGGTTCAGAGATACTTTTTTATTCACCTACAAGTAGTTGCTGTACAGGATTATTTAGGATAATCTGCAAAAGAGCGACTAAGGAAGTCAAACCATTTTATGAAACACCTTCTGCTTTCATGGCTAGTAGCTCTCTTTTTCAGTTTTATTTATAAGATTGCAGTAACTTTCTGCTTCCATAAAATCGTGACAGGAATTTGTAGTAACTAGTACGGTTCTCTGATTTACTCTGTACTTTTACTGGTAGTGATAGTGGACAAAGTTTCAAAGATGAAACCTCAGACATTTTCCAAACGAATTCACATTCTCCGCAGACCTATCCTTGATTGCAGAAGGTCTTCTCTAAACAGGATGGCTTTAAGACACACTTTAATTTTAATACAGAAGTGCATTTTTTACGTGTTTGTAACATTAGTCCTAAGCTGCATTTGTTGCACTGCATGTGGAAAGAGATCGTTCGATCCTTAACCTCCTTTCCCCATCTGCAGTTTCTGCCATCCCCGTTGAAATAAAATGTGAGACGCTTTAACTCTGCTACAGCTTTCCTCTCCCCTTTTAGACATGCCTGTAGGCCATCGCCTGGAGGAACCAAGCTTTTTCATCCTTGTCACTGACGCGGAGGCTGAAGCGGTGCCCAGCTGGTAAGAACAGAATTGAAATCCCACCTTGCGTAGCGCACGGGCTCTTTGATCATTTCACTTTGGGCACTAGAAAGATGTGATGGATCAGTCGATTAAATTTGCAGTCGTTTCTGTGCTTCAGTGGAATCACAGAGGTTATCCCAGCTGGGACTGAATCAAAATATTTAATCCAACTTGGTAAAATAAAGTTTTCAACCAAGATAGAAAAGCAAGTAAGCCTAAAGCTTGGCTTTTATCTTCATAAAAAGAAACGGCTTAGAGCAGGTTTATTTCTGTGTTCCCTAATGCACTACTGGAGACTGCCATGCGGTTTATTTTTGCATCCACCTTTAAAAGCAGCTGATTTTCAGCACCCAGCCTTTCTGAATTTTGCCTCTTTTGCACTGACTCTTTGGTGAATCTGCTGACTCGCTTGCTTTCTTATAAATGTTTTTGGTGTTTTGGTGGCCAGGGAGGGGATGTCTGCTGTGATTACTGTTGTTTTGATTGCATCCACTGAGAAAAGCGGTGGGGCTCATGGGAAGCCCCTGCGTGATGGAGGGCAGGGCAGGAAACTGCTGGAAACTTCTTCTTACGTTGGCCAAGCCAGCACGACTGTGACAAGTGACACTTCGTAAGGTTGCTTGAGTGCTTCCTCTGGTGGCCGGTAACTCTGTAAGGCTGCCGGTGAGCACCGGGGCTCTTCTGTCCTTCATTTTTTAGTGTAAACTGACATGTACGTGCTGGTAATGAAATGTTTGGCTGTACAGCAGCTTTGATTTGGGGATCCTTAAGCTATCTATTTACATTTGTTAGCAAATTAGGGTTGTGTTTCTCCGTGGGGGTTACATTTGTCGACCTGTTTTAATAATTGAGACCCATGGAACAAGCAAGCTCTGCTATCCCAGTCTGAAACTTCTAAGCAGTTTTCTTTAGCGTCTGCTTTTGTCCGTGAACAGATGCTGATGCTAAATCAGCATGGGAAGACTGAAAATTAAAGTGCTTGCTGCCCCATGATGCTTAATAAATATATTCTGCAGCTCGTAAGCCCCAAATGGGTCAAATGTCTTAGTGTATAGGTGTGTTAACGCTTGGTTTGACCCGCTGTAGAAGAACAGAGACTAACTGTGCTCTTAATTTGTTATTTCAAATCGCTTGTGGGTGCACACCACGTTGTTGCTTTTTTTTTTTTTTTTTGATCAAAAGGAAAGAAAATACTGCTTTTCTTTTTTTTCTAAAAGAGGTCTATTTGAAGAGTGAGACTGCCAACCTCAGTAGTTCTGGCCTCCCAAAAGATGACAGAATTTCCTGTAAGAGTTGCTTTTATAAAGGCTGTTTCCTTTCAGGTTTTTATGTTGCTTTTCCTTTTTTGCATTTCTTCTCTTACTCTCTCCCCAGTTTTCTCATTCATTTAACCTGATCTGCATACTTCAAAAAATAAATGAAGGAATTATATGCTGATTTCTAACAGTTAACTTATACCTAAGTTCTTCCCTGATGACCTCTTTATTCAACAGCAAGCAAACTTCCTTGAGACTTGATTACTTGTGATTAGAGAATTGTGATTAGTGCAATTTAGGGCAGTAAGTGCTTGAAAACTTGCACCTGCTTTTGAGGCAGCAGCCCTGCCATTTTTTCACTGTTGTTTGATTATGCCTGTGCTCTGTAAGCCCAGCACAGATACCAACCTTATCCACAAACATTATTCTTATTTTACAGATGGTTAACTGAAAGTTTTGTTGTTGTGCCCATCCTATCTATCAAACAGTCCTTCCTTCCTTTCAGGCCACTCCTGCCCATGCAGGATGACTCACTCCGCTTCGTGGGAGTTTCCAGTCGTAAGAATTTGTGGAACCAAGGTATTTTTACTATTATTCACCCCTGTAAGCACTGCAAAGTTACAGAAGTTATCCAGGTTCTGTGCTTTTAAGACACGGTTATTTTACGAGGATGCTTTTTTCTCTCTTGGAAAGGAAATGGGTTTATGTGGAATATGCCACAATGCTTTGATACAGTATTTCAGCAGGTAAGACACTAAAAGGAAAGCACAGGTCATGTATTTATAGGGATATGAGATTTAATTCTGGTTTTAGTTAGATGAGTGCAGGTTTACCCAATGAAATATGACTGCATCACTTGATCTGTCCTAGAGCTTTAAATATGTATGTCAAAGATGAAATTGCAGTTACGAGTACGAAGTGGATTTTGCTGGCAAATATCCTTTTCTCAGGACTTCTTTATTAGAATCAGTAACCTGGAAATGACAGAAGGGCTTCACATAAACTGTTGAAGATGGTCCTACATACATACTTTAAAATGTTGGAAAATTATCCCAAGCAAATCATGTTTTTAGGTACTGAGTATCTTTAAACCCAAGAATTTTGCATTAAGCTGAATTTTTTCCATTATCCATGGGAACCTCCCACATGTGGACAGACAATCCCATTGCTCCACTCAGTGGGATTTGTGGCAATTCCCTCTGATCCTGCTCGGGGTCCTTGCCCCCTTCTCACCTCTATCCTAATCCTCCGTTCCCTCACACCGATCTGCTCCATGTGGCTTCCTGCTCTCTTGTTC